ATAAAAGAATAATCTAAATTCATACGGTAGAACCAGTGATAGTGCTTGGACTATGTTTTTATACCTTATACACTGTATACTTTATATATTTACACCTGCAATATTTTCAAGGTCAGGACGTCACACGTGATTTTCTTGAGCCAATGCTATTTTTTCATGTAGCCAGCACTGTGTTTCATTTGATATTTGTTTTATCAATTTGCACAAATACCCCCCAGTTTTTTCGATAAGGGTCATTTCCCCAAAGTAATGACAAACATCGACATGGATGATTGTAAATACTCACGTGATTGCACATCTTGTATTAGCAAGAGCTTCTCAGACAAACATCTTTCTTTTTGTGTTTTCTGTGGAAAACCGTGGAAATGACTACAGTTAACAATGGTACAGTTTGTGCCAGAAAACTCTCACACAGGATATTTTTCTTCTTTGTGTGTTTTATTGAGACTTCAACCTTCTTGGCAAGGATCCGCGCCACCAGGCGGGACGTCTCTGATGGGCACCAGTTCTCTCCGAATGCGTTCATTGCTGAGCACTCCAGCTTGTGCATGGCCCAGTCCCCTTTCTACACACATATAAAGATCATAATGCCATGTAAAATCAATTGACCAACCAACCAAACACTGAGCTTCAATATATATTGAATAGAACCACTGTATCATTGTCCTTTGAGCATCCACACACGAGTCATTACATTGCACTCATTCTCTTGGTTGTTGGAGTGTTACTTACCTGGCATTTCACATTGCAGTAGAAGGCTTTCTTGCACTTCCCACATTTTGCCAATCCGTTTTTTCTACAAATGACAATAAGGAGAGTCTGTTATATTGTGGTTGACAAGTAGCAAATCATAAAATAGTTATTGAAAGATTCGCAGACATCCCTGTACAAATGACTTCCCCTGCCAAAAAAGAAACAACCCAGGCATTAGAGCCCATTGGATGTCAACCTGTACACAGATCACTTCCAATAAATCAGAGCTCAATCTTGTGGGTGGTGGGTATCTGTTTGCTTCAGTGTGTGAAGGCGTGTATGGATGTAAACATCCTTCTCAGAAACAAGAAGGAGCAGTTGCTGGTGCCCTGTCATAACCGATAGCAATGAAGGGCTTTAAAACATTCTGTGGTATTAATAGAGCTGGCTGTACGATGGACCACCTGTCTCTGCACCACACTGAAAAAGTAAAGCAGTCCAAAAGTCCACTGATACCATTTTTGAGACACTTAAAACCAGGCCAGACAAGCTGCTCTGTGTTCAGGGTGGGAAAACATGAAAGGTTAAACCTGAGATAATGTACTGTAAAACTGTAGTTACAGCTTTTACCAAAATGTTTAATTTAAGATCTTGATGAGAGGCCGCTGGACTGTGTAACTTTGGGCATCTCACCAAGGACTGAGTGCATGTTTTATTCTAGGGTGTAAAATGACTGCCTTAAGGTTAAGTGCTGGGTTAAAACAAGCTGTGTCATAGATTTAATTCACTGTGAACAAATCTAAACACAATCAGATGGTCTTTGCTCACACTAGGAAGAGAAGAGTCTCAAAAGATGGTTTATGAAATTTGTATTTAACTGAGTGCATCTCCACATGTCTCCAGAATGCATGTTGGTGTTGGAAATGTGCACAGGACATTGACATGGTGAGGGTCTAATGTATGTACAAAGATTGAGTTAAGGTAAATAAGGCAGATTGCTTTAAGATATAAAAACTGAGGTTCTGACTGGAGCTAAGATTGAGTTTAGACTGAAGTCAGAGGTAGAGTTACAGTGGGCTACATGAAAAAAGCCTTCCTATTGTAACCTGATACTTGAGACTGTAAAGAATGTATATGCACCTGTATTTATGAACACAGTCACATAATCATAGATTGATTTAAGTATTATAAACTGGTACATCTGCACTGTGATATTATCTACAAGGAACAGCCCCTTCATTAATCCCAAGTACAGCTGCAGGTGACAGAGACTATATTATGTAATCATGATGCCACTCAGGACACAAAAACTCTTTCTCATCAGCCATCCTTCCTTTTCTGACAGAGAGGTATACAGACAGGTGAAACACCATATATAAACCACCATTGAGAAAGATGAGCCCACGAACTGAAATAGATTCCGTGGAGTGACACTTTTATGACAAATGGCCCATGTGGTGCTGAATGTGTGTCTGATGGACATTTATTATTACTTCTCCATCACTAATGAATTGGTTTGGTCAACATAGGATCACAGGTTTGCAGTTCATTAGTTTTTAAAATCATTAATCATGCTTTCAGAACTAGAAATAAACTACAGGTAATTATGTATTTGTGGATATGCTCCCACGGGTTGTATGATAGGTCATTATCATACAATTGCATCTGGTGCAGGGTCTTTATCAAGCAAATAAATTCAGTTAAATTAGTTATTAAATCATGCAAGGAACAGAAATTAATCATTACCTGGTGAAGCAGAACTCACAGTAGCAGCCTCTCTCCTTCGCTGACAGCACGTAAGAATACGCAGGGCTGGAAAACAAAAGCTCTCCAACCTTAAAGGCTCTGGAAACCCGCAGACCTCGTCCTTTTCCCGGACTCTCGAACCTCTCAAGTCCCTTGATGCTGCCCGTCATCGCGTCTTTTCTCCAGTTCGCCTTCACGCTGAATGAGTCCTCACTCGGCAGGAGGGGAAAGTGGGAAGTGGCACCCCCAACTCAAAAGGCGGAACCCTCCCCAATAATAGTTCATATTAGTAACCGAAGGAGCAGCACGCACCCAGCTGCACGGAAGTTAGAAAGTTATATCAAACTTTTTGTGTCAAGTAAATTCATATACATATTCTCACACTGCACATATGTTTTTTCTTGTTTTCTCACTGTATATATTAGTTTTTATTCCATTCATATTTTTTATATTTTCTTACACCTAAATATTGCATCTTACTTATTATGACTTACTGATGACTATTATTTTACTCTTGCTGCTGTAATACTACAAACTTCCCCATTGAGGGATTATTATCTTATCATATCTTATCTTATCTTATTTTAAGATGGAAGGAGGCTCAGCAGTTTTCCCGGTGGACTTTTTATTATTTTTGGTCAGTGAACACAATTATTTTATAAATGACAGCTTTAAGCGACAGGCTCATTTTCTTAATTTTAATTTTTTTTTTTTACCAGTAGTCTGACCTGACCGCGACACACGCAACAGGTGACCCCTGAACTCCCAGACGCGATGACGTAGGACGTAACAGACTGCAGCGCCAACAGGTGAGACAGGTGGCGACAAAAAGACACGATAAATAAGAGAAGATAAAGAAAAGAATAAAAAGAGAAGATAAAGAAAAGAATAAAAAGCGGAACTGACGAGACCACAATTGAAAAAAGACCCGTTTCATGAAATGTGTTTACAAGGTAATGACTCAGGTGTGTATGCTAGTCTGGAACAACAGAGGCTATGCTATACGAATGTTTTGCTAATGCTAAACGGTTTGTCGCGACGTTACGTGAGTGTGAGACACCTTGTTGTTCGTTACAGCAGCAGTCAGGGACCAGTGCCATGTTCTGGTGGGGAAGAAGATGGAGAACAAAACCACCGCCATGATGAAGCCACGACTCCTGAGTGGACAGGTAGGATTGCTTATCACAACACATCACAACACATCTGGGGTACAGGCTTGTTCTGAAGACCAAGCATTACATTGTGTAGAATAGACCTTTGCACAATGATGGTGTCCTGAGAGAGTTTTACTGTGAATAACAAAGTTTTAGATACTTTTATATTCATTCATAGTTGACTTGTATTAACTCATTTGCACACTGATTTTAATGATCACACAAGAACACATATCAGTGCTTATGTATGATTATGTATATACATATATATTATATTTCAGAATAATACACTGTGAATGACAGCTGTGGAAAATAGCACTCTATGGTCAACGTATATAGTAAATCTATAGTTATGTTCATATCTGTATGATTGGGTGTAAACTGGTCTGAGGTTCTAAAATCCTGGGCTGAAAATGAGTCCCACTCTGGCCCTGTGTCAGCTCCATCACTTTCCATAACTGCAACAGCACGTGTTAGCTGAGAATTAAAGTGAGGGTGTTAAAGTGTGTTAAAGCCACGCTTGTTCACTGTGGAGAGAAAGACACCATTGCCATCACTGGAACTGATAGAGGCATCACTGATGGGCATCCCTCTGTCAGCCGTTGATTCAAACCCATTCCATTTTTCAAAATGGTTGCGATTGGCCCGACCGGTTTCAGGATGGATGGAAATCAGTATAACTGAGAGGATTGACTGGTTTCCAGGTTAAGAAAGGGGAGTTTTTCATGGGAAACAAATGAAAGGGACAGATATGGACTTTTATAGACTGAAATATCTGTTTTGTTTTTGTATTTTGCAAAAAGGAGAAGTTTTCCACAAAGTTTTCAAGAGTCCTTAGATTGGCAAGTCTAAGTATTGTGGTTTTTAATGTGGACCTGGTCCAATGTGATCTAGACACAGGGCCACTGTTATTGTCTGCTCTGGTTTAACAAATGAACTGATGGTTCATGTCCTCAGTCGGTCCCTGTGACACATTTGCTCCATATCAACACACACTCACTTCACTTTAAATAGACAATGAGCTGTCACAGAGGTGTTGTGACACTTTCCATCCACACAGAGAGCACCACAGAATTCAAACAGACTGTTTTACGTCAAACCAACACCACCATTATGTTGATGTTTTAAGGCATTGCAGTGCGTCGAGGAGGCTTCCATAAACTCAGCACTGTATAGCTTTAATGGAAAGTGGACAGCAGAGTGTGCAAGAAATAAGCATAGAGACATTTTTTACAAATGATGTCAAATCTTCACATCAGATGTCAAACTTATGCCAAATCATGTTTTTTTCTAACCAACCAAATACCAACACACACATACTGTATTAACAGCCCAGAGGTTGTCATGTTAGTATTGGGACTTTCAACTGCAGTTCAATGAGGCCACCTGGTGGTGAAGATGGAGCTTCACGTATTCAACCTTTGTACCATTCATATTATTATGCATTGATATTATATCAATATATTATTATTTATATTGTCATATTTCATGTAAAGCTACCATATACTCTCTTACAGTTAATCTGCTCTGTGGCAAATGAGATTCAACTGTAACTGTAGTTTTCAACTGCTGCAACACTGGCTTTGATTATATTTTCACTTAGCTTTATTAGATTAATACTTTATCCATTATTTGGATCAGGTTTAGTTTAGTTTATTAGGAAGAGCCTTCAAGTTGGTCTCCATCCAGTTTTGTCATATTGTGCCATCATGTGGGTGTTATTTGTAAGTACAGCCTCAAATCATTAAAGGATCCCATTCCTGACGCGTTACAGTTCACCAGTCACCTTAGATAGCAGCAGATTATTTGACAGCTGAGTGAGTTCAATACAGAGGGAGAGGGGAGAGCTCAGGTCAGGGACTTGATCTTGAGTAAATTGAAATATTTCATAAGCAACCATGCAAACACATTACACTCCTGCACACCTACACTCATACAAGCATGAACACAAACACACACTCGTACAAGCACATACCACTGTGAAGATTTGTCCCTCATCTGTATCTGAAGGCTTTATCCAACCTTGCCCCAGTTTCCAACCCCGATTTATTATAATTCCATTTTTTCCCCGTTCCCTCAATCTAAAGATTTGTTCCTCCTCATTTTTTAATAATGTGCAAGCAAGGGAGGCATGTCCCTGGGAGATTATGTCCTCGTCTTTGGCGTCTCGTCTTGATTACACCAGAGGAACCTGATTTGATTTGGAAGAAACCCCTCTGTTCCAGGACGGGATCTCTTTAGACCTACCCACTGTACTGATTTCTTGCTTTGTCAGAGGGGATGATCTTGATGAATATGATCTGAAAGAGAGGGAGGGAGAGGGGGATTAGGTGAACGGATTATAATTTCCAATGATGAGAAATAATAAGAAACAATAAATCCTAAGTAGATTTAGTTCTCAAGGAAACCCTGTTAGGGGGAATCAACAGAATAAGAGACAGGACAGAAAAGAAACAGGACAATGGTATTAAATAGATACGGTAGACCTGAGCTGTTTGGTCTGAGGTATAAGATGAGTTCTCTTTTGATTTGTGATTTGCAAACTGACATTTAAATGAGCATAAACAACAAACTAATGGTTCAGAATACATTGCTGTGTTCTTAAAGTTTGATGGCTAGAAGTAGGGCAATTAGTTGATTGGCAGAAAATCAACTAGCTCAGCTTTTGTTTAAGCACAAAGGCACATTTCTGTGAGCATGTTGTGTGTCAATCCTGTATATAGTGAAATGAGTATCTTTTGGTTTTGGGCCATCAATGGGACAACGCTAGATATTTGAAGACTGGTCTGAAGCAGCAATGTAGACCCACAAAGGATGGCCTTATATTTAAGTTTGTGTTTATCTGGGTTCTCAAGTTGCCTCCTGGAATTCAAGGTTATTCTAGTGAAGTGGAGTGAAGTCAGTTGGTGCAAATGCAAAGTCAAACATATTTGTTCCTGTTAATTTTTGCATGTCCCTGTCAATAACAGTAGAAGAGAAGTATTACTTGATTGAGTAAAAACAGCAACTTATAATTGTTCATTTTTATGGGATCAAATTTCAAACTCTTGTTGCTTCCTGCCAGTTAATTGCAATTAGACAATCAGGACATCACCATGGGCTTTAGGGAATTATGTTGAACATTTTTCACTACTTTCTGACATTTTATAGACCTAACTATTCTAACTATCCCATATACACACTTAAAATAAATCATATGAGTATGGAGTGCAAAAATAAAATTTGAGCCCTTAAAAAAATACAATAATAAATGCTAAAACAAACATTGAAATAAATAAATAAGCACATAAAATGTATAGCTAAGACAGTAGCATTTGTAGGTCCATAGTCGGCAGCGATTATCAGCAGCAGCGACACACTAGATTAAGTGCAGAGTAAAAAAAGACATCTGCTTTACTGCCTTTTACTAAAAACCATAGCGGAAAGCTATGGTCTAAGTACTATTCTGGACTCTGCAGATGAATTAATAGTGGAAATACGTGTTACAAATGCCCTTTAAAGTTAAGCACCATGTATTCTTCATGAATGTCTCATAAGGTCTTGAGATGCTACATGTCAAACAAAAGTAGACATGGTTAACAGACATGAGACCATTGTACTTCAACAGGGGGCACCACAGTGTACAGATAAAGTCATTGAGTCAAAGACAATAGAGTGTGGTGCATCTAAACTTTGTGCAGTTCAAGCTAGGTGTAGTGGTTGATGATAATTAAAATGTTAATTGGTGTACTGGATTTGCCATTCCAGTTTTATTCTCCATTTATTTTTTTAACAATAAGTTCTCTTAGGGAAGAAGGTGTTGAATGGCTTGATCTACATGAACAAGATCTACACCCATTAATTATCTAGACTTTGGTGGCCTGCCGTATTTCTACCACCCCAGTTTCTAACAAAAAATTGTTTTACACTTGGTATAATAACATAATTGATCTCTAACTTAGTGTTTTGCTCTGTTGCTGATTTTTATAGCTGTGTGCAGCACTGTTTACAGCACTAATTGCTGCATGCTTGTTCTTAATATTGAGCTTCCGTCCGCAGTCAGACCTCATACGACCCGTATTCGATGCAGTTTTTTCTTTCACGCAAGAAGCTGTCTTTCAGTCTCGTCTGTGTACCTGTCACTCGACATCTGTTGTGGATGAGAGCCACCTTCATGAGCATGCACCTCCACTACTGCCATAAAAAAAATTCGAATTTATTCCGTAGGAAACTTTTACCATCTCATAATGTATCTGCACCTCATCAGAACTCCCTTTCCCTTGAGCCCTTTCAATAATCAGACTACAAAAGGATGTGCCTGTTTAGACAACACTATCTGTAGAACTCGTGGTCATACTTATGCTCATAGTTGTGGCCTGAATTGATGGATGCAGTACTTTGTCACATTGAGGACCTCATAAAATGGCAGCTGCTAATGCCTCTCTGCCACGAGGTCGTGCAAAAGGGATGTGTGTGAAATCCAGTGCCGTTAAAGACCTTTGTTGCTTTCCGTAGTCGCGGGCCGAGGACTCCTCGATTCATACTCGTGACCTTGTCATCGCAGGCCTTCCCAGGCTGCTGTGTTAACTAGGGGTCATCTGCGGGGCACGGCATGAGAGATGAACATGGCTGTGTGTTTGCATTCAGCCGAGGGAGTGAGGATGGAGTAAGTGATAATTCTGAGCTGTGCTTTAGGAAGAGGTGCAAGCCAAGACCGTGTGTAATTGTCCCTATATTCCCCTGAGCTGAGTCCAGGCTCTATACTGTACAGTAAATCCACATACTTTGTGATGAACTGACTGACTTGAATGAGGCAACGTCTACCATCCTGCCTTGTCCCTTGTCAGTCAGTTAGGGAGCCAAGCTTTAAGCCTTAACCCCCCTGTCTCCACTCCTGGCTGTGGGGGGGGAATGTGACGCCTGCCTGCCTGCTCGCCTGTTTGGCCGTCTTAGCCCATGTGGGGTTTGCAGGCGCGGAGCCTCATCTCCAACTGTTTATCCATGTGTCTTTGCTTTGGCTCTGGCCCGACGCTGTA